AGATCCGAGTGGCAAATCTATATCAGCTATTTTTTGGTTGGAGTAATTGAATATTTTGATTTGCAGTGTTCGCAATGTGGCACGTCGCGCTGTTTTATTGAAACCAGTAGCCTATTGTAATGTTGGAAAAGGCCAGACAAAATGAGCCAACATCTATCGATATCGATTTCCGTCAATAGTTTTGTTATGTTTGAGCAAATTCCTCTCCATACATATAAACGGATAGAATTCTGTATAGTTGTTTCCATAAAATTTCCAATTAAATAAAATTGCTTAGGTGATGTCAATATTAACGTCTTCTTTAATTCCGATGTATTACTACTCTTCAGCTACTAGCCCCATATACCAAGTTTCGATATAGGTTTTTCCAGAGACACGATTACCTAAAACTAACGTAGCCCTCTTTCGTTGTATATACTTTGGCAATATCATGGTGCAGCTCACACAGTTTGTTGTTTGTCCGGACAAGGTAGTCATTGCCAATACGTAAAGAGCCAAATAGTATCCAGTTATTTGCCAATTGTCGCTCACATTCCTGCTGATAGCCAGTAAATACATATTTCGCTTCGCCCTCATTAGGAATCAGATACATTTTGGCAGATTTCCACCCGATTAATTCGAAGACATCCTGCTTGTTACGTCTCATTATGTCTAGTCATCGTATAGGTAAATAGCTAACACAATGGTAAATTATCCTGCCTACCCGAAGTTAAAGAGGTCAAAACATAAGAGATCGCCCAGTACAAAACCTCACCTGGTGTTGAAAAATTGAGAGAGCTTCGTTATAACCTTAATCGCAGTGTAGGCAATGCTCTACACTGAACTCTTATCGGACTGTGGAAAGTTGCCTTTTAATCAACGATTGGTTGGCGGTTGCCAAGGTCTTATCGTAGTGTGAATATTTGATCAATGCTGGAATGACCAACTCTAAGTGCACATTGATAACTTTCAATCAGTTCGTTAGCTAGGAAATTCAGTCACTTAGACAATATGCTTGAAAGCACCTTGTGAACAATGGGCACCGGGCTCATCGCTTTCTTTAAGACAATATACAATTTTGCAGAGTATTACAAAAAAAAAAAAAAAAAAAATCGGGCTTATGTCGACTTAGGCTGTTTTAACATATGCGCATACATTTCTATTCGAAGAGCGTCTATCAAAAATGTACAGCTATCGTTTGTTTTCAAAGTATATAATAAATATAAATGTATATAATATGTTTTGATATAATATATAGGCGCCAGATCTACTATATTTAATGATCATTACTACTACTATTACATGTTTCATGTGCTTTTGCTAGTAAATTGGAAAAAAGCCGAGCTTACAAAAAATATTCTCTACATAAATACTAAATGTACTTGGCAACAGTCTCTCTAATTATTTGTAAATACTATTGTATACATATGTACGGGTATGTAAAATTTGAAAGCTTAAAGGCTTTGGCGCCTTAATTTGTTGTGTGTGTGTGTAAATGTGCAAGTAAAATGAATGGAAGATCGCTTGGTCATTTCATTTATCTAACTCTTTATATATGTATAACTAGATAGAGCTTAATCTAATATTTTTGTTACTTTTTGTAAGTATTTTAAATAGCGAAAGTAATATTTTTGTAAGTAATACTATATTGCATTTTTAGGTTATGTTTATATGAAAAAAGCTCCGTTTTGATTGGCATGCATGTAAACTACTATTTTACGCTAAATTTATGTATATGTGTGCGTGTGTTTGTATTTCGCTTTAAAATCGATGCTTTAATTATTTTTATTCACTTTTTTATTGTATTTGTTATATATACTCAGTATTATTATGTTATTGTTGCTATTGTGTTGGTTGCGTTGGCTTCGTATCGGTTTTTGTATTCGTACTTTTTAGGCAATTGATATCGGTAGTACATATGTATTATTAAAATGCAGAGAGCAAAAAGGAACTATGATGCTTGATAAATAGTGTGCGAGAATAAAGCTACAATGTTTTTAATTTTCGATTTTATTTTATTTCTGTTTAACTTCTTATGAATTGCAAGTGAATTATTAACGTGGCTTGGAAAAAGGTTGTGCTTTAAGAAATGTAGTAATGCTTGTATGCCGTTACGGCGAATCGTTGAAGAAAAGGTGCTTAAGAGTCGTTTGCACGATAGTCGTGTCTAAGTATGCGAGACGGATACGGATTTTTGGCCGAACAAGGGCTGTCAACTCGGCAACTTTCCTTGAAATTATTTCAGAAATGTTTCGTGACGCTACAACAACAGCTGATATTTAAGAGGGAGGCTAACTAGATTAAAATAGAAAATAATGGTGGCTTTGTTCCCTCTCCTATATTACATATGGTCACAAAGAAGTCAAGAATCTTATTAGGATAAGCTTCACACTTTTTTCATATTATACTTGTATGGGTGCCTGGTCATAGCGAAATCGTCAGAAATTGCAATGCGCATGAGCTTGCTAGAGAAGGCACTCTTGCACCAATCTTATCCGATTGGAAGGGAGTCGGAACAGTGAGCAATAAGTTCACTCGCAGTGAATGGCAATCTTGTGGATGGCATCTTGTCACTTTCTCATTTATTTTGCCAGACTAAGAATGAAGGTGCTTGGCAAGTTTGTGGTTACTTCAAAAGGTATCGTCTATCTATGAGGAAAGACAAATATATAATGGTATGTTCAAGTGAGATATATCGGTACATACTATATATACCGTTGCCATTACTTGATGTTCTTGGTATGAAAGTGTTCGGAAAGAAGATTGTGCGCAAGCTTCATAAAATATGAATTATTGGAGAAGTAGATGGTTTTTATTGAGCATAGTGGTCATTGAGTGGGCCACCGATCTTTGTTATACTACTTTTATAGAAAGATTTGTCTTTTGCTTCGAGGACTGAAGAGGACTTAGTCTCATCGATTTTTTCTTCGTTGTCGCTAATTTTTTTTTCTACATCATACTCTTAAGATTGAAGTACAGTAGAACGCTGCGGTTAAAGCATAAGAAATTAGAAACTCAGTTCATGCAATTTTACCATTGTGTTCATTAAGTTGCGCGACGTTGTGGATGGTTTACGATTTTCTCCTTTAAAAGTTTCAATAACGAGTCAATCATTCACCAGTAGAAAGTTATACAAATATATTTTGTTAAGGACCAATCTAACTATAACAGATGCGATTCCTTTATGAGGAACAATAAAAACTTTTTGGACTGTCTGATATGTAAATTTTTTTCAAATCCAAAAACTGCGACTCAAAGTATGCGCTCGCATAGGGATATCCGAAATGTTATTCAAAAGCTTGCGGACTATTCAGTTTTGATAGTTCTCAAATCGGTCCCAGGCTGATGGTAGCAGATAACTCCAAGCCTAACCCAAAATCAAAGCCATTTAAAGTCAGCATACTAAGCTGAGATTTTATAGTGTATCCCTAAAAATTCTTGCATCTGTTGAGCGTCCAAGATCTTAAGTGAAGAAAAATGCCTATAAAAAGTTGCTTATCTTAGGGGCTACACTCCATTCTCGACCTTTTTGAAATGTTAACGTAATTTTTGTTTGAATTCTACAAGCTTATATGAATTTGTGTAGATCCCTCAACTATACAACGATAAAGATATAGCAATAAAGCGTCATACATATAATACGCTCACCGATTTATCGCATCGTCTTCCAAAAAAAGTTATGAGACACAACATAGGGATCTGCGATCAACTTTTTCCCACGACTGTGCGGTCTATCGAACCAAAACGAGTCGGAATTTTTGACTGACTAATTTTTGACTGACGAACTAATTGTTAGTTCGACAGGTCGAAAGTAGGATCTCTAAGCCAATCTAACGGACCCGGATATTAATTCGGCGAAAGATTGTTAGTTGAGCGATTCGGAAGTAGGACTATAGTATATAATATTCTAGCCAGCACATGCCGAATATAATTTCAACCGACCCTTTACCACGACTGCCCGGTTTATCTAACTGGAACGTAAAAGGATTTTTCCCCCGCTAAAGATTGTCAGTTCGGCAGCAATCATCTCTTATTTAGGAAATGCTTTTTTTATCATTAAAAGAACAATGATGATTGAAACTACGTAAAGGAGGCGTTACATAATATGACATGGTAGAGCAAATGTCATACCATAATTTCGCCCAAAATCGAAGTAACATACATATATGCTAGAAGATATCTCGATATGTATGTGTCTACAATAGTCTTCCTTGAATTTGTGAAAGTGTCTATTAACCGCCCTCAACTGAACTTGTTCAACTTTCTTAATTGTTATAATTTTAACAAAGAATTTTCGAGTTTGCGTAACTCAAAAATAGAGCTTAAAGCACAGTCTTTTTTCGATCATATCTAGATACAACATTATATCGGTTTTGCAGACGAATTTTGCAGAATTTTTTCGTAAAAATATTTTTATGAGTCCAAATTAGATCTGAGATCTGCAGATTTTGTTCGAACTTTCCACCCTAATGTTCAAAAACCCAGATATTTGCATATTAAATCGATCTACATAGTTGCATATCACATAAATTATATAGTATATCTATCTTGCCAAGATATCGATTTCATTTCTTATTTGGTGCGTGAATTATTGATGTTTCGCGCTTGCAAGTAAGTGTATCTGTTTATGCTAGTATTATGTATGTATATGTAAATACCTATGTCAGTATGTATGAAACGCTTACGCTAATGATCTACGATTTGTATGTATGTAATTCGTATATGTAAACTAGRAGATTGCAGAGTTCGTTTATAAAGTTTTGAAGCAAAAATTGTGCATTTTCGACAGTCATTATACGAACAAGTACCTAACTACTCGCTCGCCATCACTTAAGATTACATACTAAGTATGTGTGTATGTAAATTTGGCTAACAACGGCATAGTTGATACCACTTTTATATGACATACATATAACGTAAATATTTTGACGAATATCGTAAAATTTTGCGACGAAGATCGTCATCATAAATTTCCCGACGAATATCGTAAAATTTTTCGACGATTGTCGTAAATTTTCCGACAATATCGTAATTTCTAACATTGTTCAACGCTTTTGAAGCGCTAGTAATATTACGTTCGCCCGCTATAAATATCGAATTGCCTACGTAATTTGCTTGCTTCTATCCGATTTAGGGCCAAGCAAAATTGATGCCGGTCATTTGGTAGAATTTATTGTTGAACGGTCGATAAAATTCGCGCAAACGTTCGATGGCAGCTTCCTCAATGTGCGGATGATTGCGTCCTTTCGTCTTGCCCAAACAATGTGGCGTGGAACGTGCTTCCGACTTGAATAGACAGGGGAAACCTTTGGTGGCGTTAAAGTAAAAGTGTTTCTCAGTCACGACGCGTTTGAGACCCAAGAAGTCTTGTACACGTCCAATCTCGTAGGCAGGATCCATAATAAGCCGTTCGCCGCTTATGAAGAGCAACTGCGATAGCGGAAAGTATTTCAACCACTTCTCTAGATAACGCGAGTATACACCTATTTTGACGGGTCCCCAAGCGGTGTCCACTACCGCGAACGAGCCGTTGACGAAGGCTAAATCTTCGAAACGCTTCATATCCGATTTCTTGCTGGCCGCTTGCGTGTAGTCGGATATGGCTCGTGTCACAGGATCGCGCACGACAATTAACAGCCTGTAGGTAAGAGAATTAATGCGTAGTTTTGGAATTTAGCGAATTTAATGAGAAGCAAAACAAAGCATCTAAAGTTATGACTCTTAGTTATTTAAGTATTTTTGTCCTCTAAATTGAATTTTGGATGGTCAAACTTATAAGTAAATCACTCGTTATTCCCATCCTGCTCTATGGTGCAGAGGCATGACCGATGACAACATCTAATGAGTCGAGGTTACGAGTTTTGGAGAGAGTTTTATGGTTTTCTGCGCATTGGCAACATTCGTTGGAAAAATGATCGACAGGAGAAAGCAGCTACGCTGGTTAGGTCATGTTGTCCGAATGGATGAAAACACTCAAGCTTTAAGAGTTTTTGAAGCAGTACACGCCGGAGAAAGCAGAGGAAGAGGGAGACCTACACTCCGTAGGAAATATCAGGTGGAGAAGGACTTGGCTACACTTGGAATCTTTAATTGCCACCAAAAAGCGAAAAGAAAGAATGATTGGCGCTGTTGTAAACTTGGCTATAACCGCGTAAGCGGTGTCTACGCCAATGAAGAAGAAGAAGCAGAAACCGCATTAACTCTCATAAGAGTACAAGAGGTCCTTGATAGTTTGTGGTATCTGAGATTTGCTTTTGTCATAGCTTTATGTAATACGATAACACGCCATAATTATTATTATTATAATCAGAAAAAAAATTTTTTTTGAGAAAGGCTTCATAGAGATTTTCAATAATTCGCTATTTGGGGATCCTAAAACTATGCAGAAAAAAATTAGTTTTCTAGTATGAACGGACCTTAAAAAGGAAGGGATGGATTTGTGACTGAATGACAGGACTGCAATTTAAGAGTGTAGATGACTTCTCCTTCATCTTAAAAAAGACAGACGAGTACTATAATCAGTGAGGTTCTCGAAATCGGACGAAGTTCCTGATTTGTCCTACTACTACTATGATATCCTTTGATTGAATACCAATCTTTCGAAGATTTTCTAGTCGGATCATACGTAAATTGAGGGGTAAATGCGTAACCGTTGTCAATTATGGTCTTCTTCCCATTGAATCAATAAAGATATTAGCATACATCCCTCAAGTCGTCACTTGACGGAGGTCTGTTAATGGTGGGTAACATTAATGAGTCATGAATAAATTTAAAAAGCCCAGGTGAATATAGTATTTGAGGATATGTTAGGAGTCAAATTCTCAAATAAAATAAAACAGTCGAGCTAATCCGTCATATTCTAATTTTGTTTCGCGGCGGATTTAACTCACTTTGTCGCCGCATTCATTTGATGCACCCGCTGCGGCACCTCTTTTGTCACAAAATAGCTCGGCGTCTTCTCCATTGTTATTTGACCCTCAATGGTGTAGGGCATGTGGTGGCGATACCAGCGCAGACCACGCTGATAGTGACGATCAAAAAAATGCACCTCACAGCCAGCGGCGCGTACATCCGGATGCAGACGTATGAATTCAAGTAGCGCGCGTGTGCCGCTCTTCTTCACGCCAATGATGAGCGTGTCGGGCAGATGACGCGACGGATGCAAACCTTGTTGACGTAGGAAACGATATTTCGGTGAACCGTCGGCAGCTTCCTGTGGCGGATTGCTTGCATTGTTGTTGTTGGTGTTGTTATTTGAAGCACTTAACGGCACAATATGTACAACGGATGAACCGTGATTTCTTAAGCTTAAAGCTTCCGGTGTGCGTTTCGATGCCACACCGACGACATTAACGCTGGCATTTGAAGCGTCTAGCTGCGTAGGTGGCGGTGTTGCAGTAGTAACGGTGAGCTCGTCATCGGAGAAGAGTAGGCCGCGAAATGGATTCTGTGAGGACGATGTAAATTTTGTTTGTTATAAGGTTATATAAGATGATTTGAGGAGAGCTTTAACTTGCGTATAACATTTGTAACGCACTGGGTGGTCCATAAATTGTTTTTAATAATCAGCATGACGAGCTGAGTCGCTTAAACCATATCCATCTGTCTGTATATACGCGAATTAGTCTACCCGTTTTTGAGATACCGATGCTTATTTATCGAACCGCCAATATCAGGTCACTATAGCATTTGGCTATTATACGAACTGAACGTTCGGAATCAAGTCCTTGTATGGAAAACATTTGATGTATGGATTATTAGTAAAGGCAGCGGTACAATCTCCGAGGAAACTGTACCTTTCGGACCACTGTAGGATATACTTGTACATAGTGCCATTCAAATTGATCGAAAATCAAATCAAATTCTTTAGTAATTACGACTACGAGCAAAAAATAGTAAGACTCTGTTCATAATTTTAACATTCTATAATGTTAGCTAAATCAGGCGAATACTGTGGTTGCTTGGAAACCTCGATTTTTTTCTCTGCTTTGACGTGTTTTTTTTTTGTCTTTGGCTCGCCATTCGACCCAATCGGTTGTAATCAGAGATCCAAGACTCATCGCCAGTTCATGACAACCTGGTAATTGGAAAGCCTTGTTTCACAGACGTTAACAGCGTCGCGGTTTCTCGAAAAAGTTTAGTGATTTTGGAATCAATCATGCATTCACTTTTCTTCGGCCTAAATGATCTTTCAGAATGGTTTTAACTGATCCTTCCAATATTTCAACGACGCCAGTAAGATCTCTGACTGTTAATCGTCGATTCCCAAGTACCAATTCCTTTATTTTACTGTTCATCAGTTGGTGTTGATGGCCGTCCTGGACGTGATTCGTCGTCAACGCGATCTCGACTCTCTTTGAATAATTTGTACCAAACAAAAACAAGTGCTCGTGACAAACAATTATCACCGAAGGCCTTTTCCAACATTCTGAACGGTTCGGTATCAGAAATTTGATTCCGCATAAAAAATTTAATGGAACTTCTTTGTTGAATAATTTCGCTCATATAAAAAGACAAGCGTATACTCAGCACTAGTGATAAATTTGATGTGAGATTTGGCACAGATGTCACTGGCAGTCATACAATGTGAGTTCCAAGTAGACTGGACTTTTTGAATCCAGCGCCTTCTGGTGGCGCCAATTATATGTCGACTGGTGCGTTAGAATCTGCTATCTTTATCGATAATGCTTTCATTACATTTCATAGATTAGAGGTGAAGTTATTGCGTTTTAAGTGTCAGTATATTCGTGTTATCGCTGCGAAAATAAGCTTCGAACAAAGAGCCAACATTAAATTTTGTTTTAAAATTGGTGAAACAGAAACGTTTCAGTTAATGAAACAAGTTTATGATACGATTGCCTACACCGTAGCAGAATGCGCGAGTGGTTTCAACGTTTTCAAGGTGGTTGTGAGGACATAAATAACGATCAACATGTGAACCAATCAAAATCCGTGATCACCGGAAATTCCATCGAGACTGTGCGTGAATTCGTCAAAAATCAGCCGAAATCTTCATTAAAATTATTGGAAATTTGATTTTTGGAGTCTTGATGCGTTTGGTGCGCCGTATTCGACGTGTTCGGCCCGAATATCGCATAGATGAAAGTTGCCGTTTGTTGCACGATAAGGCGGCGCTTATCGGTCGACGATTGTGACCGATTATTTGACGAATTTCCTTTTCCTTTTCGGAAAAATGCATTTGCCCATGAAAGGAAAGCTTTATACAAACGTAGAGAGGCCATGCAAAAATCTTACACCGGCATACTGGCGGCCATACCAGCCAACGAGCTAAACCACTCGTTCGACATGCTTTTGGACCGTGCAAAAAGCAGTATTGATGCAGAAGGAGACTATTTTGATTAAAATAAATTGGCTGTGCCGAAAAACCCATTTGTTCTGGTTTTTTTTTAAGTCCGGTTTACTTTGGTACAAACCTTGTACAAACCTAATAAAAAGTATTCCGACGAAATTTAAGTTTAAAAGTCTTACTATTTTTTGCCCACAGTAACATGAAGGGTATTTAGCTTCGGTGCAACCGAAGTTTCGTTCTTTCTTGTTACACGTTTAAAAGCCGGTCACTATATGAACCACCCTTATGTGTGTGAAGCATCTGCAGCATGGTTTGCTTACATGCGTTTAAGTGTAAGAAAACTCCTTAGCATGCAAAATAATATCAAAATTGTATCACTAAACACGCACCTTTTGGAATGTCCGACTAATGCTTGTTAATAGGCACGAATTAAATGTATATGATACATATATTAGGGATATGCAAATTAGCAGCGTTATCGCCAAACTGCGATTACTGAGATTGGTGAACCAGTTCATGACAAACATACTGCTGCGACGCTATCCTTGTTGCTTGTTTTCTCCATTCAAATCACACAAAATGCACAAATTCGGTCGATTTGACGATATTAAATGCGCTCCGAACAACTACCGTTATAATTACACACATCGCAACTTGTTCAACTTAACTATGGACACTACATTTTGTTAAAAATCACATGATTTTCTGATTTTCGACAGTCACTACATTGCTGTGTTGCTAGAATAATTGCACAATTGCACTAATTTGACGAAGAGGAAAATTTCCAAAATTTCCTGCAACGATTTCCCATCGAAAAGGGTTGATTTCGCACAGCTCGGCTAGATTGTGTGAGATGGTGAGTGTGTGTGTGGGTGATTGAGCGTTAAGGCGAATGAGGGCAATTTACAAATACAGATCCATATATGTATATATGTATACGTCGATAAAGAAATCAAGTCAAACATTTCTATAACGTTTGTATGTGTGCGTGTTGCTGTGGACGCAATAAATGTCAAATATCCGCCATGAAGGTGGCGAGGAATGTTTGCTTGCCTTCCAAACTTCACGCAATTCGCCAAATGATAAAGACGAATGACGCACAAAAACACAGCATGAAAAGAAAACCACCAAGCCGCTACAAAAGCGCTCCAAAAGTAAATGTCAAAAAGGATAACTGACAGTTTGCTTTATTGGTAGCAGGCCACTGCCGCTGGGGGTTGTATATTGGCAGCGAAAAAGAGCGTCCGCTAAAATCTAGCATTTTCCCACATCGCATACACATTCAGGTACTACTTTACGCACTATACGCCGACCGATTACGTCGAAGTTCGGCGAAAATACTCTCTCGCTGTGCCGAAGTGCGGTCCTGCTGCGCGAAGTTGGCGGCTTTCTGCCGTCAACATTTGCAGCGGATGGTAAGGGTGAAATGCCGTTATCAACCCTGCGAGCGTTCGAGCCGGCAGTTTCATTCATAAAATTTGGCGTCCTTGCCGAACTATTTGTACTTGCGCAGCTCGTATTCCGCTCGGAGCAAATCGCTCTTGGTTCGTGGTAATGCGGAGCGTATGAGTTCCTTTGGCTAACTGAAAGTTGATTGCACAGTGTGTTTGTAACATAATAATAGGTAAACTCGTTATAACTAGACGATATTTGCGAGCGTCGTAATCCAGACTACTTGTACATGTCCAATAACAGCGGCCTGTTCTTTTCAAATTTAGCGTACTTTTAAATATTCGGTCTTTAATAAGGCTACCAAGTTGTTGAATATAATATTTTCGCATAACTATTGTCCAAGCTACCATTCTAAAGAGAGTTGCAATTGGACGAGGTATCAAGCCTTATCTGACCTCATTACTTAAAACGATTTTTTTAACTGGTAGCGAGAGGTATATTATAAGTTGGTTGATTACATTAATGAGGACAGATTTTTTTGTTCCCTTCTAGTCATGCGACTGTTACTGATTTGCTCCAGATTGTATTATTTCCCTACCGTTCTTTTGGCACTGTTTTATTACATCCAAATCTGTACCGCCTTGCTTCTCAGCGAAGCCATCGTTTAATACTATATAATATGGAACTACTGCCTTTGCATAAGAGGCGTAGCTAAAGAACAAATGCCTTCGTTAAAATCTCCATATTGTGAACTATTTTGGCAATTAATTTTAGTATGGTATGTGTTGTATTGGATTTCATTACACCATGATGATACGCTAAATTACAGTTTGGTTTCTGTTACTCATTTTTAAATGAGGAGAGGTCTTAGCGACTCCTTGCAGATTGCATATATGTATCTGATTGTCTGGATTCTGGTAGTACCGAGCTTTGGATCTTGGGTTTAAAAACTGTCTTCCTCGACCAAACCATAGTTCATCCAAGGTAGAGGCAGCATTTCGTCAATTTGTCTTGTGATATATTTATATACTATGTATATATTGTTTTTACATTCTACAATTGTACACATATTTTTTACACTTTTGAATTCCTTTCATTTATCGCTGGAAATTTAGTTTTTGCGCCCGAATGTCCACTTTTCGACAGGCAACTCTTTAGTTGTGGTCTAGGGTTAAAAAAAAATTTATAAAGATTGCACAGGTCTATTGTGCCCTCTCCTAAATCACAACGACCCACCTAGCCTCTGCATATTAGTAAATTTCAATATACTGCTAGATGCTAGTGAGATGATGTGATCCATATTTGGAAACATGGATCCAAGGAACTTTATCCTGAGACTTTAGACATGCAGATGCATGCAAGGATAATTGGAGCACTAGCGAAGTCTGCGATGCTTTTAAGGTTCAAACCACCGCCGCATATAGTACGTGATTATCAGTCGCACTTTCACGATGTACAACCACCTGGCAATCCTTAACTTGAGAGTCCCAGGATTTACCATCTAATCGATTGCACACCATAAGTGCTTTATACGCTTTGACCATTATGGTCAAGTGAACATGCTGCTTCCACAGCAGAGTATGTTGCAGCGTGAGACCAAGATATTTGACCATGTTAGTCATCTCTACCTCTCTGCCCTAAGGAGTTAGGTAAATGGGACGATGGTCGTCTTAGAGGATTTGATGTTCAGCTCAACCTCATTGCACCATTCTTTAACCAGGTTTAAGCCCCTTTGTAGTAGGTCGTAGGGAGTGTCCTCGGATTCGCCTCTAGCTATAATAGGAATGTCATCCGCATACCCTTGATATACGGATCCCATTGCCAATTAGCAAAACTAGTATTTCATGCACGAAAGGGCTCCATAATAACACTTGGCCAGAATATCCGGATAATCCATTAAACACATCGGTTGAGAAAAGATTGCAGCGTTTGTGAAACACCCCCAGTAATGTTTTATGTCTCGCAGCCTATTGGACAACGGACTTTGCTCTTGAATTGAATATGGTGTTTTTATCTCTTGCGTCCGTATAATTCATAGTTTGCTTACAATTTAAGTGACCCTATACTATTTGGTATCCTCACCATATACACTTGAGTTGGAGATCCAATATTAATTAGACTTTTGCCCCATTTGGTTTCACTGGTCGGATGCAACAGTCGGCGCCAGCGCAATTCAATGCAAGCAATGAATTTTCGTTATTGACCTGCACAAGGTGCAGTGGTTGTTATAACGGAGCCAAATTGCTATGTAGTGATGTTTTGTGAGCTAAATAGTACTCTACCTGATCGCTCTTGATATAAGCGTTCGCCCAATAAAGCATCTTGCGGCTAAAATTCTTAGCTCCACCTAACTCTAAGGCATCTAACTCCAGTCTCAGAGTACATATCGCCGGTTCTTACCATTGAAACTACAGTAGTTTAGCTTTGTAAGAATTCGATAATTTGAAGTCAGAACAGTTTTCAATACCAGACGTAGTATAAGCTATCATGTAACTGGATACACGGGATATGATTAGATTTTGGTGCTATGCAATACCAGATGGAGTTCATTTTCTAGCTCCATGAGGAGTAGTCATCCTTTAAGATGTCTGCGCTTTATGCAAATTTTACCAGACTTAGTTGCATCACTCCTACCATACGTATCATACAGGGACAAGTGCACTAAGAATGTTTCGTTGTTTCCCTGGTTCCTTACTCCAGGCAATTCCTGCAGTCTTCTCGATTTTTCGAAGGGTGTCGCCAACAAGCAGTGTTCAGTTAGTATTCCGATCATATTTCTAAAGTTTCTTCTATCGAGTGCAAATAGGAATTTTTTATACTTTCGATATATCGTTTTGCACATGACTTTCGCAGTTTTGCACCTAAGCAGCTTCGTTCATTGGGTTTTGATTTTTGTTATCATATTTCTGTTCAGATCGACTTATAGACAATACATTAGCTTGGCTTAATCACGTTGTCGGGTGTAAGCCGTACACCATTTTTGGCAATCTCGTCTCATAAGAGGCAAACAAGACCTCAGCTTGAAATATACTGCAATGGTCCGGTAACTTAAAAGGCTGCCTTAGGCTTAAGATTGGTCAGTATATTTCCAGACCACGGGGTATACAAGCGTGCCAGGAATATTCCGTGATCCGGTCCATTATTGTCCATATCTACTGCCTTAAATTCGATTTAGAACGTTGTAACGTTTTCTGTCACCAACATCTATCCAGACCAGGTTGAATAAAAAGTACGTTTTGTGTAAAGTGAAACTCTCACATAACTCTCCAATCACATTATTGTTTCTAATCAAAGATAACTTCTGTGGCGCAACACTTTTTATCTCAACGTCTAAGATACCTAGCAATTTGAAGAGTGTGTCATCGATGCAAGAATGCGGAGATAGCGTAGTAAATCAACCGTTTCGTAAGCCCACAAGCGCGCAGATGTAAAAATACAACAAAGTGATCAGTGACTATAGTATTCTTACACCGAAATGTACCATTTTCCGGATATTTTAGGTAAACTAAAACTGAAAATTTGTGTCTATTAATTCTCAAGTTATTTTATTTTCTACAGCTTTTCTGTGCTTATTCGCTAGTGGCTGTTTCTTCGGCTATTACTACAAACATGCCTATGTCTACGACAATCTGTGGGTGCATTGGCACGCCTTGCTAGGGAGCGTTGTAGCTGTGGCCTTGGCGAGCGGCTTAACTTTGCGCAAATATTTGAAACGTCAGCAGAGTTATGATCACTTCTATGTGATTTTCTACGGTCTGATATGCTACCTTATCAGCTGTTGCTTCATGCTGACGGGCAACCTAAGTACGTAGCTAATAAAAGAACAAAAACAAAGCGCCGCTTTTATTAATATTGTCAATACTATATGATTTGCAGATATTTGCTTTTACTTCGGTTTCATTGGCATTGGCACTACGCTCATTCCCTGCTATAGCTACATTAGTTTGCGCAGTTCGTCGCGTGGCCTGCGGCCGGCGCGCATAGCGTTTGGGAATGCACTATACTTTGCCGGCTTTACGGTGGGCTTTAGTGTATTCAACGAGTTCGAACCGATCTATTGCGGTTGGATCTATTTGGGCATTTCGCTCTTCATGCTCGCCGGTGTTGTGGTGAATGAGGTGCTCCAACATTTGGGTGTGCACAACTATAAGATATCCTTCGATCTGGCCTTCAATCTGTTGAACGAGGAGAAACTTGTGTTCCTGCCGAACAAATCGATCTATGCGCTCTTTGCG